TTTCATCGCAAATCTCATCTGTGAGGAAATTTATGACGAAAAATAATTACGAGAATAAAATTTGAGATGAAAATTCTATAACAATTCCGTTGCTGAACAATTTTTTTCTAGTAGTTAACTGAGTTTGTTTAATATTGGTTTTCATAAAATAAATATGCCTTATTTGTTTACTAGCCATTTTCGAGCAAGGAACTTGATTAAACCTGGACTTTTTTTTTATTTCTAATTTCATAATGGGCATGGGAATATGTTTGATTAAAACTCAAGTAAACTAACAAGATAGTTCGCAAAAAAAAAAAATGTTTTGGGCAATGAACATCACTACAACATTATTAGCAACAGCATCCTCGTGACCAATTGCTAAAGAGGGAGAAATTGATATATATATATATATATATATATATATATATATATATATATATATATATAGGTAGGATCCTTTGACACCGGTGTCAAATTTGAAGTTTGACACCTCATCTGAGAGGCGTTAGATAAAAAAAGATCAATGGTGTCACATGCTTACAAATCAAAATCATTGATCTTTTTTGATCTAACGGCTCTCAGATGAGGTGTCAAACTTCAAACTTAACACCGATGTCAAAAGATCCTGCCTCATATATATATATAGATATAGAGAGAGAGAGAGAGAGAGAGAGAGGCAGGCTATATTTACAAACTTTTTTGTTTACAAACTACACTATCTTCTCCCGGGAGAACACTAGGTTTCACTATGTTCTCTCGAGAGAAAATAGTGTAATTTATAAAAATTTGTCAAAAAAATTTGTAAACAGATCATTCCTCATATATATATTAAGGTTATCTACAGCTACCTCAAAAATGATGTCGTTTTGATTAGTGAAGGGTGTTTCTATAATTTTAGGTGAATTAATGAAGAGTGTTTCTGTAATTTTATTTATTTTTTTATCATATGCATTTTACTGAAACATCCTTCATTAATTCAATTAAAATTATAGAAACCATTGTTATTAAAATCTCGATTTATCACTACGATTTTACGATTTTTTTTCATCAAAACGATTTTACTAATATTCCAAACGCTTTTACGTTTTTATGATTTTTTACGATTTTTTTACATTACGATTTTACGTTTTACGATTTTTTAATCTCCTTCCGGTTTTACTTAAGATCTCGATTTTAACAACATTGACAGAAACACTTTTTATTAATCAAAACGACATAGTTTTTGGGTAGCTGTAGATAATCTTATCTAAAGTGGCTGTAGAAATATATTTTCTCCATATATATATATATATATATATATATATATATATATATATATATGGGTTATGTTTATCTCATTTTACATGAGATAAATAATTTTCCTACACACATAAAAAAGATTGGGTCCCACCACTCTTTTTTCTCTTCCTCTTACCTGTGGCTCCCACTCGTAATTTTATTTCTACAACATGAGGTAACTATTTTTCTACAACATAAGAAAAGTATTTCCCTATATATATAATATGTTATTTTACCTATCTTTTTTTCTGATTACATTTGCCTACCACTCTAAAAGACTATTAGATCACAATCTTAATTAACATTTATCTTTCTCTCTCCTCTTTAGATTCTGATCTAAGGATGTTGGAGAGTGGTAGGCAAAGATAGACAAAAAAAAGTAGGTAGAATAACATGTTTCTATATATATATATATATATATATATATATATATATATATATATATAGGGTTTTCATTTTATCCTTTAACATAACACAACAAACTTTCCTACACTCACAACATTTTGTGGGGCCCACACTTTTTAAAACAAAAAAATAAATAAAAAATTATGGCACGCAAAACGAATCTCTATAACATTACACAATCACTTTTCCTACAACATAACTCTTATAAAACCCATATATATATATATATAGGGCTTATCGTTTCTCAAACTGCTTGAGATAATCTTATCTCCGGCTACCCTAAAACTACGTCGTTTTATTTATTTATTTCCTTATATTAATTGATTCACCTTTGAATGGTTATGATTCCCTTTTTCTCTCTCTTCTTTTATCACCATTGATCCATCTTTGTACGGTTATAATTTAATAGTTGGAGATAAGATTATCTCAAGAAGCTTGAGAAACGATAAACCCATATATATATATGGGGGTAATTTGAGATAAACTTACCTCAACCACCTCTTATAACTACGTACTAAGAGTAGTACATAGTTATAATACTAAAGTTATTTTTTCTCTCTCTCTACGTCAGCAAACAAGTTATCAATTCTTTTTTAATTTCTGTTCCCGGGAACAGAAATGGATAGGAAACTCGTTTGGTAAAATCGGTTTATTTTTTTGTTCCCGGGATGAACCGGTTTAATTTTTGTGCTCGGGAACAGAAAAAAGAATCAAAAAAATTTCTGCTTTTTTGTTCCTGGGCACAAAATGAGAAACACTTATTTCTCACAATTACTCTTCACCACTATCATCATCATCACCACCATCATCATCCCGACATGACCACCGCCACCATCGTCGCCACCGCCGTTGTACCACCAATGTCATCGTCACAACCACCACCACCACCACCACGACGATGCCGCTGTCACCATCACCACCACCAACACGATGTCATCGCCACCACCTCCACCATGCCACTGTCATCACCACCATTACCGCCGCCACCACCATGCCACCACTACCATCGCCGCAGCCACTGCCGTCACCACCACCACCGCCATTGCCATCACCACCGCCACCACGACCACCATTACCACCATCATTGTCTCAGCCACTACCATCACCACCACCCCCATGCCCATCACCACCACCATCACCGCATCATCGCCTCTGCCACCACGCCACCGTCACCAACCACCACCACCATCGCCGTAGCCATTGTCGTCACCACCACCACCACGCCGCAGCCATTGCCGTCACTACCACCACCATTTTACCACCATCATTGCCACAGCCACTGCCACTGCCGTCACCACCACCCCCACCACCATGCCATCACCACGTCATCGCCACTGCCACACCGTCACCAACCACCACCACCACCATCGTCGCAGTCACTGTCATCACCAACACCACCATGCCACCACTACCACACCACCAACCGCCGTCGCCGCCGCCATTACCACCACCACCATCGTCACCATTACCACCACCATTGCCGCAGCCACTGTCGTCAGTACCACCTCTGTCGCCACCGCCACCATATGAAAAGGAAAGTGATGATCCAAAAAAAATTATGCTCGATAGGAATTATTTTTTATTATATTATTTGTTGTGTTATCAAACGCAATTCTCATTCTCAGAATAAAAATATAACATGTTATCAAACACATTTTTTTTCTTAAAAAATGTTCTAAGGCACAGAAATAGAAAAGAATTGTTTCTTTTCAGAAACAATGCCAGGAAACAGAATGGTTGTCATGCACACCCAAAGTGTCCGAAGAAAGAAAAAATAATAATAACTTTAACATTATAACTATATATTATCCTTAGTATATAGTTATATGTGTATGTATGTGTGTCATTCTAATCTAGTAATCCAATAATTTCATTATTTATTTGATTTGATATATTTTTTATATTGGATTTGATTTGATATACTTTCTATTTCTTTTTTATCACTCTTTTTACTTATTTTTTTCTCAAATCTCAACTTAATTAACCATTTTGTCCTTAATTCTTGAAGTTATAACTAGTGCACTCTTCGCATTGATTAACTTGCCAATTTTCTGTGGAAATAATATTTTATTCACTATTTAATTACTTGTTGACGACAAACATTTACATAAGAATATATTTTTAGAGAAATATATTTTTTATGTTGTTGGCATACAAAATTTAAAGTGGGTGATATCTTTTTTTTTTCTATCTGTTTTCTTTAATAGGTTTCAACTATTTTTTTTTATGCTGCATGAGATAAATTATCTCAGAAACATATTCATCATATTTTTAATTTCTTATGCTCAAAAAGGCAACAATGCCCTATTTGCATTCTTGCAATTTTGTAAATATTATGCCCAAAACTAGAATTACTCTGATTTCTCGCGTGATATAGCGAATAAATTGGACCTTTGTCTCGTTTGTAAGTTACGTGCTTAATATATGTTGTGTACCTATTTGGACACTTGGAGCTTCGCTATATATTGATCTTCACCAAACAAAGGCCTTTATGAAATACGTGGCGTGATTGCCATACACAAAGTGTTGAGATATATAGTCCCACATTAGTTGTATGAGCAACTAATGTGGAGTTTATAAGGTCTTGAGCACTCCCACCTTTGAGCTAGCTTTTGGGATGGTGTATCCCAAAGTTCTTTAATATGGTATCAGAACCGCCTCCCACTTAAAAAAAGAAAAAAGTGGAATTAAAAATAAAAAAGCACAAAAGGTAAACTAAAAATTGGGCCACGCTTCTAGCCCAAAGGACTCTTGTGTGAGGAGGCGTATTGAGATATATAGTCCCACATTGGTTGTATGAGCCAACTAATGTGGCATTTATAAGGCCTTGGGCACTCCCACCCTTTGAGCCACGCTTTGATTTCTTCGTTTTAATTGTTTAAAAAAGTGGAATTAAAAATAAAAAAGCACAAAAGGTAAACTAAAAATTGGGCCACGCTTCTAGCCCAAATGACTCTTGCGTGAGGAGGCGTGTTGAGATATATAGTCCTACATTAATTGTATGAGTCAACTAATGTGGCATTAAGGCCTTGGGCACTCTCACCCTTTGAGCCACGCTTTAATACAAAGTGGTTCGTCTTTTTAATTGTTTAACAAAAATCAAGAAGGAAAAAACATACCATCCAAAAAGTTATAACCAAGATTTTTGCAAGCTATTTAGTAAATGTGGTTCGAGACACTCGGCACAAGAACATTACAATAAATAATCATAATTTATTCATACAATCATGTATAATTCAGAAAAACAAACCCAAACAAAGATGACAATAAGGGGTCAACGTAAACTTTTTGTTTTAATAACAAAGCAAAGATCGATCGAGAAGTGGCACTGTCTATCAGGCGAAGAAGGCTGAAATAGCAACGATGGCTACCATAAGAACCCCAGATAGAGAAGAAACAACAGCAGAAGAAGGAGCAGGTGCAGGACCTTCGGATACAACGTTGATGACAAGCTTCATTTGATGATCAGAACAGTGGTTTGCAACGCCACAAGCGTACCACTTCTTCCCTTCGAGTTTCAGTTGAATAACGTCATTTCCGGTTGAAAGTGAATTGTTTGAATTTGATGGTGGGAAGCTGCAATTCTGGAATTGTGTAGCGTTCAATTTGAACACATTGTGTCTTGAGTTGTTATAATTGAACACTGCACCATTAATAGATCACAGAGAAAGACTTCATCTTAATTTGACTACACGTTCTATATACCCAAATAATTTATTCTAAAGTCAATAATATATCATATAGTTCTAGTAAAAGTTCAACCAAAAGAATTCTGATCGATTGCATAGTATTTTTCAAAACAATAATTATCATTCTTACATCACATCTTTTTTAACAATAATAAAGAAACTCTAAAGTCTTTCTATCTTAATTTTCTTATCCTAATTAGGCAAATTTTTAAAAGTAGTATAACAATGTATATAAATACATAACGCTTTCTAAAACAAAAGTGATAAAAAACATTCATCCATACAAAATTCAACAAGTACAACAACTCATTATACGTCAATAAGTGCCAAAATTCTGAGTAAGTAGAAATTTTGTTACGTACCAAGGTTGTCACCAACACGGAAAACTTTGTCCTGGGCCCACTGTGTGTAGTTAAAATCAAGAGTCCAGCCACTCTGATCCCCCACATTGTAATCAGTTGCCATTGCAACTGACGAAAACAAAACCATGGAGATGGCTAGGAATAACGCAATGCGAGAAAAAGCCATTTGATTTGAACTAATAAATAGTTAAAGCTACGTGCTTCAAATCTCAAACAAGTCCTCGACTATAGCTAGCAAATGTTATTGCTTAGATGAATTGTTAGATGTCAACTTTGGCTATATATATAGGACATGTATATTGATTTTAACGATAAACATGGAAGCCTCGAATTGGTGTAGGGAGCTTGGGTTTAACCGGATAAGGCCGGCCTTTGCTATGATGAGGTTTCACAGCAGAGATCTTATTTACAAGTAAAAAACAATTTTTTGACTTAATCAAGGAGGGGACAACTGTAAGTACTAGGAATTCTTAGTAGAATTATACTTTGAAGCAATTTGACCATAAAAAAAAAATTAAGAAAAATGTTTATCCTTTTAAATGACATAACTTATATTATTTCACTCTCACAAAGATGTGGGACTCACACCTTCATTCTTTTTATTCACTATCTCTCCTCCTTTATCTATCTCTTTCTCTCACTTAAAATAACATAACTTTATATCCTTTAAAATAACACACATTTTTTCAAAAAAAAATAAAAAATATGCTTATTCCTTTGTTAGTTTGTTTTGGAATGGTGAGTTCTTCAATATATGCCATGTGGAAAGTTTCAAAGGGAAATACGTAAAGAGTGGAATGTGTTTCCCTTGGCCTGCCTTCTGCACCTTCGTATTACTGTCATGCGCTGATTCTTAGGCTTGCAAACGTACATGTACAAAATGTACAAATTCCAAAACATACAAGTTACGTAACTGATTAATATTATGGTATATATAACCACCACATAATACACGATAATTATAATATATTGATTTTTAATATAGTTTATTCCTTAAAATTTATGAAATAATTAATATATGTGTTTGAAAACTTAATGTTAATTGGGTCTTTTATGATTATATTTAATTACTAAAAATAGTAAATTTTAAAATTAATTTGAAATTTTTAGGATTAAAATTAACTTTTTAAAATTAATTTTTAGAAATTTTTAGTAATTATGCTTGTTTGTACTGCACACTCATGACCTGTACTTTACATTAACCTAATGTACTTCGAGGCAATCCATTGTACATTAAGTTCTAATATGTTGTTGATAAAAATAAAGAGAAAAACATTTAGCGTTACTGCAGATAAGTTATTTGTATTTATTATTAAAATAACGTCATTTTGGTATTGAAATATTAAAAAATTATAAATATCAAGATTATTATAACCCTGAAATAAATTAAAATTACAAAAACACCATGATTTCTGCCCAAAACGACGTCATATTAGACTTACCGAAGATAACTTATCTGCACTAACAGTAGAAAAAGCGTACTCAAAAATAAAATATCCCTTTGTTCTGTTTGTCTTTTTGAAAAAGTGTTTTTTATGTACGGATGCAAACGAATATAGCTCTGACTATTTGGAGGGGGGGGGGGGGGGGGGGGGGGGGGGGGGGAATAAGTCCTTCCAAAAAAATAATGCATAATTTTATTTTATTTTTAAGTTCATCCAAACAAGTCCTTTTAAGTAATATAACAAGTTCATCCTGATATGGAGAGTACAAATTGAATGTTACGAGTAATAAGTTTAGCAAAATCATGATTGAATTGTATTTAAGCATAATTATGGTTCTTTAACAATAATTTGAGACAAAATGAAGAGTGAAAAATTACATTTCCAATTCATCAAATCATAATTTATAAATTATAATAAACATGCTTCTTAATATTTGGATAAGAGTTTTCTATTAGGTTTTAATAATATTTGTAGTAAGTTTATATTAATTACTTTCATATATTATCCAAATTTAAATTCCTGTAAACTTTATTTAAGCTGTAACACAATATCTTGAAAATTAGAAAACAATCATCACTTTTTCCCTCACAAACTTCACATGTTCAATTAAGCTACAAGAAATTTTCTTGTAAATATCCTAATTTTTGTGTGAATATATATAGTCTTCCATTGAACAGGAAAAATGTGGATGAATCAAGGATAAAACTTAAGTAAAATTCTTGTAAATATCCTAATTGTTTTGAAAAATTTATTGTTGTTTTCTAATAAAAATAATACGTATTACTTTATAGCCATCTCGTTCTTTTTTCTAAAGCTTACATAAGCAGAATAGCTAGAAATACACTTTTTTTTTTGTTTTTTTGTTTAAGAATAACATTATTTACCTAAGTTTTATCCATTAATCAAAGTGTGTATACGAGTTGATATAGACATCACACGACAGAACCATGATACAAAATAAATAAAAAAACCAACAACTATTGGTAAGTTTTAAAATATTGTTTTCCCTTAGTTATAGGTCTCTTTGAGCATCAAAATAATGTTATTAGTCACGAATATCAATCACTAACTCAATCGAGGTATTAGACTAATGAATTATTGATTTAACCGCTTGAACTGAATTTATATAAAAGTATATATACGATAAATAAAATAAAAAAGGATTTTAACAAACAAATTATTGTAATTTAGTGATAAATGATACATATATTGCTTAAGAATGAAGAAAATAATATTTGGGAGAGGCCTCCCTTATAAATGATACATATATTGGTCGAACCAAATCAATTGAGTTTCAATAAATTGTTAATGAAACTGCTTTTCTTTAAGAACTTATTATGAACGATGGATATCCTAGCATTTAATTGGTGCAGAAATTAGTTAGTGATTTAGAGACTATAAATCGATAAATTTCTTATAGGGATAAGTTATTCTACCTACCATTTTTTCTACTTACCTTTGCCTACCACTCTAAAAGATCATTAGATTAGATTCTTAATTAATATTTATCTTTCTCTCTCTTCTTTAGATTCTGATCTAACAGTATTGAAGAGTGGTAGGCAAAGGTATGCAGAAAAAATGATAGGTAGAATAACATATCCCTTATGTATATTGCTCTGCAATAAGAAAATTTTGTTATTCTGTATTATTCGATATCTACTACTTCAGCTATATAGACAATGAGATAGGTTATTCTGCCTACTCTTATTTTGCCTACCCCTTTCAATACCGTTAGATTACAATCTCATCCAATGGTGGAGATTTACTATAAAAAATAAGGGTTTTATAAGAGTTATGTTGTAGGAAAAGTGATTGTGTAATGTTATAGAGATTCGTTTTGCGTGCCATAGTTTTTTTTTGCTTTAAAAAGTGTGGGCCTCATAAAATGTTGTGTGTGTAGGAAAATTTTTCTGGTCATGTTAAAGGACAAACTAAAACCCCATAAAATAAACTCTTTTACTTCTTTCTCTCTCACTGCCTCTTATTATCTCTGTCTCCTCTCCTTTCTCTCTCTTTACTGGCGCTTCAACATCAAAAAAAGGTGCAAGTTTTTTTCTCAATTAATCCAACCCAACCATTGTTATGAGCATTTACATAAAAAATTGAAAAGGGGTGTTAAGAAGAAACAAACCCAGATGCCCTATGTTATGAGATCAGGTATGCTTGTTATTGGGCGTAAAATAGAGAGAACAAAGATCATTTCCCCACTTCAAGGTGAAAAATAAGATAAGAAGAAGGAGATAAGTTGATTCGATTTCAAATTTCAATAGCAAAATAGGAACGTTACTGTAATCATGGATTAATTCAAAGGAAGGGATTCTTCGTGGTTTTCATTTTTTTGTATTTTTGTGATTTTTGTCGTGTTCAATTATATCAGATTCAAGGAATTTTGAAAATTATATTCATCTAGCAGGATTATCATGCCATTAATCATGGATTGGATTTAGATTCAAATATAAATTCTGGTTGTAAAGAGAGAAAGGGGAGGAGAGAGAAAGAGTGTGAGAGGTAGTAAGTAGAAAGAAAGGGAAGAATAATTTATTTTATTCCGCAAATCTCCATCATTGGATGAGATTGTAATCTAACGATGTTAAGAGAGGTAGGCAAAGGTAGGCAGAATAATTATCCCTTAGAAAAATCTAGTTTTTTTGGAAGTTTTATTTCAATATAGCATTATTAATTTTTTTAAAATGCCCTAAATTTGTCATTTTTGGAGTAGAAATAACTTTATAACATAAGAAATATTAAACTGATCATTTTAATTACATTTTAATGTTACAACTTATTAATATACATTTAGTAATAAAAAATCTTTATCACATGTGATAAACCTTGTTTTCACCATGTTTTGAATGCAAAGAGGAGGCTTAAAACTCCTAAATTAAAGAAAAAAAATATCATGATTTAGTATTTTTTTTTATGAATTATCATTTGCGCAATGAATTAAGATAACGTTAGTTATTTTTTTTATATTTTTCGGAGATTGGATTGAGTTTTGGGACAAAATAAGCCTTCTTATGGAAGTTATGTTTCTAATCAAGAGAAAATTTCCTTGATTCTATCTTCTGTGCATTTTATTGTATCAAGGATGATGAATTTGGATCTTGACCTCTTCATAGAATTGTTGATCTTACTTTTATCTTTCTGTGCAAATGTTATGTTTCCTTCTTATAGGATGCAATGATGTGTTCATTTGCATTCACATGCTTGATATCATTATTTTGTTATATAATAATACTGAAATTATTAATTAATCTTAATATATGATTTGTATAGTTATGTTAAATGAAGTTATAATTCTTTTACCTTTGACTTATTGCTTGATACATTTTTATAAACTTGAGAAATATTTAGATGTTAGAGACTAAAAATAGAATATTAGTACAATTTATTTATTTATTTTAAAATATATTTTTTAAACGAGTTGATTCACCAATAAGCCTCAAAACAAAATAGGTTAATATTAGCTCACTCATTAATGACGAATCAACCCGATCTGCCCCTTTTTGATAAATTGAAGGTAGGTGTTGCGACTTCGGCAAGTGCACCGGTCGTACATAAAGTTATAAGAAAAAATTGTCGATCCCACGAGGACTGATGACCAAGCACTAATTTATCTATTTAATTAAAGTTGAATCGATCGTAAAAGATTGGTTTGAGAGTATTTTAATTAAAACAGAGTTTTTAAACTTATTTTTAGTTTTCAAGATTTAAGAAATTAAATTCAGAAATAATAATGCTAGAAAATTGGTTTTAAATTTTAATAAAAGATGTAGTTACGAATCAACTTCCCCAATGTTTTTTTAACGAGTTTATCTATTCTTATAATTACATTCAAGATCCAGTTATTAACAGTTCTTTCTAATTTTGAATAATTCTCAATCCCTTGGTAATCTAACCCTTTACACCACTCAAAAGCATAATCCCTTAATACTTTTTCATAAAGTAAGCATTAATGCAAGAACATACGGTTATAGAATTCATAAGTCTATCCCTAGATCATACAAACTCTAGCAATCAACAATCGGAATCGATACACCAACATCCCTATTGTCATGCATGACTCATATGTTTATCTACGAGTGATCAGTTCATAAAAAAAGTTAATCAATAAGAAACAGATTGATTGCATAACTTTAAATCATGAATATAAATTATAAGAAAGGCAAACAGCGTTCAAGAACCCATTGGTTCCGTCTCGCCTAACTACTTAAAGAAAATTAACCTGACATAGTCAGGAAAACAAGAACAATAAGTAAAAAGGAAAATAAAACTCGGTCTCCACGGTGAAGCTTTGACCGTTCCTCTGCCTCCTCTTCCAAATGTCCTTTACGACTTTTAGTCGCTTTCTATTTAAAGAGTTAAAGTGAGCTTTTATTTCTGGATCAGCTCGCTGAAGCGAGCTGCTCAGCGAGAATTTTTCTTCTTCTCGCTCACTTGCTCGTTGAAGCGAGCAATAGAGCGAGCTTAATTATGCTTCTCGCTTACTTGCTCGCTGAAGCGAGTAGTAGAGCGAGCGTGACCAAATCTTTTTCAAATCTTTAATTTCTGATTTTTCTTTTATCTTTTTGCCGTACCAATTGCTTTTCCATCCTCATCAGGTTAGTAATTTTTTATTCTTAGTATGAAACAACCTGAAACAATAAAAAGGATTAGGATCTTATCTAGTTGTTGGCATTTTACTAAACTTTAAGATTTTATTAATTAACACTATATTTTTAATTATATTAATTAATATTTGCACTATATTTGATATTAAAAGCATAGTTTGACACTTATCAATAGGCCCGTCCATTATGCCAACTCTTGTAGACACACAATTTTATGCATTTACATAAGATAGCTAAATAGTCTAATCTCATTTTAGTATAAGACACGAAAACGAATACAACCCCAATCTCAGAAATACAGCAAGAGCTATGTCAGATTTCAATTCATTATTAGCATACCTTATAAACGGCATCAATTCCATTTCCTCATTGATGGTTTTTGTTTAAATACATAACTCTTCTTGAATACATTCACTAACATACTAAATAACCAATAATAAAGAAGGGATTAATTATTAGTAACTAGAAAAATAAAAATAACCCCTGTCCTCGAAATTCTGAAACAACACACATCAAAATCCAATCCGAGGCAGCTTTTGAATTTTATTCAAATATTTTGAATAGCTTCTTCGGCACCCAACGACCATAATGAGGAGCACTAGCAGTCCATGGTGCTTGCGGAGAGGGTACTTTAAGGGGCACAGGGGAAGATGAAGATGTTGGGGACAATTTTGCTCTAACGGGTGAGGGTGAAGGGGAAGGTGTCAGAGACAATGCTCTTTCTTGTAAAGGTGAAGGTGAAGATGTTGGAGACGATATTGCTCTTTCTGGTGAAGATGGGGATGAAGATGTTGGAGACGATATTGCTCTTTCTGGTGCAGATGAGGGTGAAGATGTTGGAGACCATGCTCCTTCTGGTGGCAGCACAGTTATGACAAGCTTTTGGCCTAAGTTGCAGTGATTATAAAAACCAGAAATGTACCATCTTCTCCCTGTGCTTCCCAATACAATCATATCATGTCCACTAATCAGTACTGGTGCTAATGGAGGAATTGAGCAGTGTATGAAGTCATTTCCACCCACTCTCGTCACATTGTCCTTCCCGCGAGGATAGTTGAATACTACAAATTAATAAAAAAATTTTATCACAAAATAATTAAAAGTTATATATATATATATATATATATATATGTATGAATAAATATGTCTACAGTCACTTTCGGCTGACATGACGAAGAGAGAAAATACAATTTTTATGTCTTGTCAGACTTAGTTAAAAAGGGATAGTTGTAGACAACCTTATATAAGGTGGCTGTAGAAATATTTAACCTATATATATATATATATATATATATATATAGTAGGATCCTTTGACACCAGTGTTAAATTTCAAATTTGACACCTCATCTGAGAGCCGTTAGATAAAAAAAGATCAATTGTGTCACATGCTTACAAATAAATGTCGTTGATCATTTTTGATGTAACGGCTCTCAGATGAGGTATCAAATTTAAAATTTGACACCAGTATCAAAGGGAATCTTACTTAAAGTTTACAAATTTTTATAAATTAAATATATACTATGGTAGTAAATATTACTTAAGTATATATTATCCATAGTATATAATATACTTTGTAAGAGTTTGTAAATATAACTTACCTCATATATATATATATGTGTGTGTGTGTTGTGTGTGAAAATACAAATCTCATATTGTGAGAGACAATAGGTCAAAGTTGATTAATGGTATCATATGCTTACCAATTATTGATCCAATGACTCTCAAATGAGTTGTCAAAAGACCCTATAATATATGTGTGTGTGTGTGTGCATGTGAGAATACAAGTCTCATATTGTAGGAGACACTGAGTCAAAGTTGATCAATGGTATCATATGCTTACCAATTATTGATAAAAGATTATATATATATAGGGAAAAATGTTTCTGTAGTTAATGCAGATAGGTTATCTGCATTTTTTTCAAAACGACGTTGTTTTGGTAGTGAAATTTTAAAACATTATAAATATAAAGACTATTATAACCCTGAAATGAATTAAAATTACAAAAATACCATAATTTCCGTTCCAAAACGACGTCGTATTGGGCTTACTGCAGATAATTTATCTGCAGTAACTGCAGAAAAAGCGAACCTATATATATATATATATATATATATATATATATATATATATATATATATCTATATATATATATATATGGGAAGGTTATATTTACAAACTTTTTGTTTAGAAACTATACTAAGTATGACCAGTCATACTTCATTGAAGAATGTATGACCGGTTATACTTACTGTGATTTATAAAAAAAAATTATAAACGGATCCTTCCATATATATATATATATAAAATTGTTTATGCATTATTCACGAGGACTAGAAGAAAGGTTTTGTAAACTCGAAACAAAATAGATCAGATGAACATGACTAAGGGAGAAAATGAATTGAATGAGCTTAATTACCAAGTGTGTCCCCAACACGAAAGATCTTGTTTGCAGCCCAAGCTTGGTAATTAAACCCAGTTGCCCAACCACGGTCATCTCCAACTACGAATTCTTTTGCTACAGCCATGGTTGATAAGATGGAAGCAGTGAGAAAAACAGGGATGAGGATGCGAGAAACAGCCATGCTTGATTCAGTACTGTATGAACTAAACTATAGCTCTTTCTTTGTTTTGTATACATACGATATGGAGATCGAACACGAATATTTATAAGACTTCAGGGCGAGGGTTACCAGAGCTATATTTTGCCGTCACAGACGGCTAAGGACGGTTTGGCAGATTTTGCATATTACTTGAACCAGTGATATATTTGGAGAAGAGCAACGTTCAAAGAATATAAGACAGTAGTTTGTTTCGTCTCTTTGTGTTGTGGTAAACTGGTAATAAGGGTTCAATTTTTATTCAGCGTTATTAATTTCACACTAATATATATATATATATATATATATATATATATATATATATATATATATATATATATAAGGAGTGTTATATTTACAAACTTTTTTGTTTACAAACTACACTATGTAGGACCGGTCCTACATTAATCACACAGTGTACGACTGGTTCTACATTAGGGCCTGTTTGGTATGACGTATAAGGCATGATAGTATAAGCTTATACTATACGTTATGACATTTTCAGCTGTTTGGTGTGACCACCGTATAGTATAAGCTTATACAGCGTAATCCCTTAATACATCAAAACGATGTATAACTTAATCCGGCCTAAGGGTGAGGGATAAGACCTGATAAGAGATTGATGTATTAACATCGTTGACTAATGTAGTTCTTAAAAATTCATATATTATTTTAATATTAATCAATTAAAATAAAAATTTATTTTTCAATATATTAATTTTTAAAATATTGAATATTTTTATTTTTATAAAAATTAATTTATATTTTGGACACACTAATCAATAAATTTTTATAAAAATTAATATCATATGACATTTTTTGAAGAATTATATAAATTCTTTATTAAAGGATATTTTTATTAAAAATATTTATTTTTATCATATATAGTATTATACAGTGCATTACCAAATACTAGATGATATTATCTTATACAATATATTATTTTATACAATACCGCGCCAAACGCTTGATAGTATTAAAATTCAATCAGGTCTTATACAATCAGGCCTTATACTATCAGGTCTTATACTATAAGGCCTTATCCTATACTATGCACCAAACATGCCCTGGTGTAATTACAAAAAAAGTTTGTAAACGGATCCTATCCCTATATATATATATATATATATATATATATATATATATATATATATATATATATATATATATATATATATATATATATAGAGTTATATTTACAAAATGTAACTATATTATGTACTTCTCGAAGTATACTAGGTTATACTATGTACTTCCGGGAGTACATAGTGTAATTTGCAAAAAATTGTAAAAAAGTTTGAGCCATACACATTACTAAAAAATTTGAACTCCTTAGATATAAGTGAGATCAATGGACAAGATTAAGAATATAAGTTACACTAGTATAAAATGATCTTGACCCATATATATATATATATATATATATATATATATATATATGGGGTAGAATCATTTGACATCAGTGTCAAATTTAAAGTTTGACACTCATCTGAGAGCCATTAGATCAAAAAAGTTCAATGGTGTCACATGCTTGCAAATCAGAGTCGTTGATTTTTTTTTTATCTAATGGTTCTCATATAAAGTGTCAAACTTTAAATTTGATACTAGTGTCAAAAGATGTTATATATATATATATATATATATATATATATATATATATATATATATATATATATATATATATAGGAAGGTTATACTTACAACCTTTTTTTTACAACCTCTTACAACCATATCTTAACACCGTTGATTTCCATCAATCAACGGTTATCATTTATTGTGGATTAATAATTAATTAATGAATTTAATATGTGAAAATGATAACCGTTGATTGGCGAAAATCAACGGTGTTAAGATATGGTTGTAAGAGGTTGTAAAAAAAAAGGTTGTAAGTATAACATTCCTCATATATATATATATATATATATATATATATATATATATATATATATATGGGAAAAATATTTCTCAAGCTGCTTGAGATAAATTTATCTCCGGCCATCCCAAAACTACGTTGTTTTGATTATTTATTTACTTATATGTATTGATTCACCTTTGAATGGTTATGATTCCCCTTTTCTCTCTCTTATTTTATCACCATTGATTCATCTTTGTACGGTTATGATTTAGTAGCCGGAGATAACTTTATCTCCAGCAGCTTGAGAAATGATAAGCCCATATATATATGGGAAAAACATTTCTCAAGCTGCTTGAGATAAATTTATCTCCTCCGGCCATCCCAAAACTACGTCGTTTTGATTATTTATTTCCTTATATGTATTGATTCACCTTTGAATGGTTATGATTCCCCTTTTCTCTCTCTTATTTTATCACCATTGATTCATCTTTGTACGGTTATGATTTAGTAGCCGGAGATAACTTTATCTCCGGCAGCTTGAGAAATGATAAGCCCATATATATATGGGAAAAACATTTCTCAAGCTGTTTGAGATAAATTTATCTTCGGCCATCCCAAAACTACGTCGTTTTGATTATTTATTTCCTTATATGTATTGGTTTACCTTTGAATGATTATGATTCCCCTTTTCTCTCTCTTATTTTATCACCATTGATTCATCTTTGTACGGTTATGATTTAGTAGTCGGAGATAACTTTATCTCCGGCAGCTTGAGAAGTGATAAGCCATATATATATATATATATATATATATATATATATATATATATATATATATGTATATTGGATTTGATACTTTTATACTGGCATCAAACTAAAAAGTTTGACATTAAACCTTAATCGTTAATTTTTACAAATCTAACTGTTATAATTTATTTAGAATTAATAATTAATTAATAATTGTGACATAATAAATTATATCTGTATTTATATATATAGGGGTTTGATTTTCTCATGTTGCATGAGAATTGAATTCTCATGTTGTGACTCAACTAGTAGTGGACCCCATATTTATTTAAAAAAGAAAAAAAGCTTTGCACGCAAATCGAAGGGTCACAACATGAAAATTGAATTCTTATGCAACATGAAACAATATTTTTCCATATATATATATATATCAAAAGAAAAATATTACTCAAGTCATTTGAAGTAACTTTATCTCCGGCCATTCTAAAATTACGTTATTTTAGATATTAAGAGAATTAATGGAGGGTATTTTAGTATTTTTGTTTCTTTAATTCTCTTAACGCCCCCAGAACTAGGGTGACCAGAAATAAAGTTATCTCAAGTGACTTGAGAAACGATAAATCCTATATATTTATGGAAAAACTACTTTCATGTTGTTGGGGAGTAATTTTATTTTCTACACATCCATCGATTCCTATGTAGCTCAATTTTTATTTTTTATAAGTAAGTGAGCTCCATCTATAAATTGTGTCTGTGATAAGAGAGAACTATTCTCCTACAACATACATGAGATTAATATATAATAAAGTCCATATATATATATATATATATATGGTTTTATATTTCTGCAGCTGTTGTACGTGCAGCAATCAAACACTTGCCATATATATACTTGAAAATATTAAATGCGGGAAATTATAACCACACAAAGGATGAAAGCATGTTAGGAATCATAACCATACACCTGTCGTTGCTATACGTAAAGCGGCTGCAGAAATGATTTTACCATATATATATATGGGTCAGGATCATTTTACACCAGTGTAAGTTACACTCTCAATCTTGACCATTGATCCCACTTATATCTAAATGCTCTAATTTTTTTAGTAATGTGAGTCATTGGATACAAGTGGATCAATGGTCAAGATTGAGTGTAAGACTTCTAACTCTTATACTAGTGTAAGAATATCTTGCCCCTATATATATATATATATATATATATATATATATATATATATATATATATATATTAGGTTAATTATTGATTTTATGTATTAAATTAGTTAATGTTAGATACGGTGCAGTTGGACCCAAACCTACATAGACTTATGATTGATTATTTCTCATAATAATTTCTCTAGTATCTGTGTTCCGTGCATGGTTACGTTTTTCATTCTATCCATTTTCTTTTCATACCATTGTCTAATACTTCAAACATCAAAAAAAAAAAAAAAAAGGAAAAACTATTTTTTTTACAGAATATTGTGTTATTTTAAATGAAATGTTAGTATTTTATTTAATATTTAAATTAAAAAAAAATTCCATCAATAAATTCTCACTTTTCCGGTTACCAAAAATAAAATAAAAATTCTCACAATAATTTTTCATTGCGGGACAAGTCCCTCTAAGTCTCTTACCATAAAATACAATCATTTTATTTAAGTTGATATGATATTCGGATCTTCAACCAAAAAAAAAAAAAAAACAGGGGTGGTCATATGATCTTTTGATAGTGTTTCGAGGAGAAAATCTATAATTTTCTTATTTTATTTTTTTAAAAATCCGAACTGAATTATTAACCGATTTGTTAATTAATCGAAAGTGAGAAAGGTTATGAATAATTATTTTGCAAGAAATTTATCCAACATTGCTCGATCCAGATAAACTGAATTGGATATTATAAAAAAAAGTGAGCGACGTTTATACGAGTTGGGAAATAGTTCTGATCTGAGCCCAATTAATCGACCCATAGCGCAAACTCAAAACCCAATAATAACCCATACGGTCATAGCCCATCTCGAGCCACACTTGAATCCCTCTCGTATACGAAGCTCTTTGCGTCTGGTTCGTTTGCTGCAGAGTTGCCGAAGAAGAAGAAGACAACCGTTTCAGATTACACTTCCTTCTCCTTTGTTTGAACTTTAGTTTTTTGGAATCATGGGTAACTCTTTCAAAAACTGTATAAAATCTTATGTTTCAGTTTTGTATTGAATCTTAAGCTTTTTGAATTACGTTTCAGAGAAACAAACTGCAGAGAAATCACGCAGAGAACGAAGGAAAGAATCTCGCTTAGAAAAGAATGCATCAAAACACCAATCCTGGCTCCATCACCAGGTATCTTACTCTATGCTCTCTTTCTCTCTCTCTTTTTTAAATGTTTTGTATTTGTATCTTGTTTTCTCACCAAAGCAATGAGAAATTTTATTATTATTATTATTATTATTATTATTATAGAAATCTCAAGCTATGAAGAGAAGTAGTAACAATAATTCAGAGTTGAAAACTGAGAGCAAATCAGACCAATCAGTTAGTCCTAGTCTCATGGAAACACAGGTTGTGAAGTTAAAATCTTACTCTAGGAAACGTGAGACACCTGAAGAATGCACTGTGTCAGATGAAATTTGCGGCTCTGTTGCAAAAAATGTGAAAAAAATGAGCAATGGTTCTCGGAAAAGTTCCGGGAAGACGAGGGCTAAGGAGTTTTATGAGATGGGTATGCCAGATGTTTCTATGGCTGCCGAGAAGGATCTAGAATTGGAAAGAAAACTTTCCAAGAAGCTCAAGGTGAAGGAAGGAAAACTGAGGGGAGTGGATGATGGGATGAACATTTTACTTGAAGGAATGTCATCTGTTATTGATTTTGTTGGAGAAGGGGAAGTTCTTGGTACTAGTGGATTACCCGTGAAGAGATTGAAGAAGAGCTTGTCGAGTAAGAAGGACAAGTTGTCAAAGAAAGGGATGGAACTAGAGTCGTTAGGTGGTATATCGGGGCCTGTGGCAACTTTCAATCAAGATGATGCATCAGAAGAAGTTCCTGACAGTGTACCTTCAAGGAAGAAGCATGAGAAAAGAAAATTGTTGGGTCAACAACAGGAAGATAATGCGGAGGATGATGCCGATTGCACGCTCAAGCCTTTGGAATCCCATGAAAAGGAGGTGGTTTCAGGGGATGTTCCTGCTGAAGTTCCAATAAAGAAAGAAAAAGCAAAATATATAGAACCTCACATGAGAGCTCGTGCTGGCAATGAACCTGAAGAGCATACTCAAATTCGAAGACGTGTACGACGTAAGGAGGAGCGACTTTGTTTTGACTTTGCATTTCTAACTGTATGCCAAATAATTGTTGTTATTATTATTTTTTTAACTTGAACTTGTTTCTTCAGGCCTTCTTAACGGATTTTCTGCATCTAATGTTGAGTCAATTACTGGAGAATTGTCCTTGATATTTCAGGTATGCCACTCCTATAGTTGTCTTACAATAGATGCTTGTTTGATTTCTTTTAATTATGTTTATATTATCTCATTTTGAGATGGTTAAAAGAAGAGACATAGAAGAGAATGTAAATGATTCTAGGAAGTCTTTTAAGAAATTTAATCTAGAGTGCTACTGTTTTCCTAGCGATGACTAGGGAAGCAGGAATTGTGATGCATTATGTAGTGCTTTGTTTGATGGATTTGCTTCGTGTTTGGTGTGCTATTCCTTCTTTTTGTTTTCTTTCTATTATGCATATTTGAGGTAGCAATTTGGTAATGACGTAGAGATTTCTGTAGTAATTTGTCTAGACAAATTGTTAATTCTGATGTGTGAATTGCTGTGGCACTAAACAGTTTTTCTTATGGGGTTATTGGTGCAAGCCATTTGTTCAACCTGTAAGTGAAACCTCACCACGTCTTATTAACGCACCATAGACTTTGGGTTCATCTATATGATAGACTTTTGTGGTGTCTAAGCAAGTTGGAATGTTGTAAATATGTCATGCCGTAAGCTGACAGATATCTCTATGGAGGCATGAACCTAACGGGTGTGAAAATGGATACTTTCTGCATAATGTGAACAAATGATGCTTAGCTTGAGATCTAGACATGTAGAGGCAATATTAAAACTATGCATAGTAGTTGCTTGTGTTTGGTTGTTGATTGCTTGACCTGAAATTTTGAGAGTTTTGGGTTGTTTGCTATTGTAATGATCCCTTGAGTTGATGCTTGTAGTATATGATAGTCAATCATTTCTATTGGAGGTGGTTAAATGATTACTATGCTGTTGTTTGATGCTTTTATTACAAGGTCACTTCATACACACACAAATTGAACAGAAAGCCTTCGGCTTGCAATGCTTGATTAGATTGAATAAATTATAAACCTATTTGGTGAGTGACTTGTTCTGTTTAGTTCTTGCATGAATTGTAAAATTAATAACTTACACTAACACTAAAATATCTGAACTTTCAAACATTATGTTCACCTTACTGAGTAATTTACTGCATTTGATATATTAAAACCTACATAAAACCCACAAAGTTGCTGCTGTATATACTTCTTTAAGCTACTGGTTTATAAAAGACAAAAAATTACTGTTCTGCTGCTACAGATTTAGTCTGGTTATTTAACTAGATTTGAAATCTTATGTTCATTATTGCTGATCACTATATGCTATCATATTGATATTAAAGTGTTCCTGAGATTATTATAATCTTGCGCCTGGTCTGAATTGTTGCTGTATTAGGTGTCAAATTGAGCTGGAATTTGTATCGGCTTGTGACCAGTCCACTTCTTAAATGCTGGTCTTGCTGATTTATTTGGTACAGATATAATATATTTTGAGTTGCCTGTACAAAAATCTGCACTAAAATGATACTATTCAGGTTACTCAAATTAAAATTGCTCAAAATTTAAACCCACACCTGTACAAAAAAAAAAAAAATACTTGTGTATGGAAATAATCCTAGTTGAATTAAGATAAACTAGTATAATGATTTATTTGTACCAACATTGATGTATGCAATATGGATTTATAAGCTACATTCATGTTCGAGTAAGCTTCTGAATTTTAGCCCTCCTTTTACTTTTTTCTGTCCAATGATACATGGATATAGTTCAGGACCCTTCCATAATGGTTGTTGCTGTCCTAGCATGATAATGTGTATGTATGTGATTATAGTCCTATATGGCAGAATTACTATAGTTGACATACGAATATTGGCTGTGAACCATGAATTATCGTGCATGACTCTTTTTTTTTTTTTTGGGTAGACATCGTGCATAACTCTGAATTACTGTGCTGTCATGTTGAGTTACAAGTGATTCTTGATATGATGATTGAGTGTGGAGAATACTATTCAATATTGTATGATTGTGTTAGAATGTCACTATGTGCGTGTCAAGATAATCTGATGTGTATATTAGTTGAGTCACCTAGATAGTAGCAATGTATGTGATCTTTCATCGGTGAATATCATCGTAAGTCAGCATCCAAAATTTTGAGGACAACATTTTTATAAGGTAGGGAGAAATCTAACACCTCAATGTCTATAACTCCTAAGAATGGAGTGAGGGTTAATTTGGAACTTAGAAAATTTAACGGGGCAGAATATAATTTATAAAAGTTAAGTGGTTGATTGTAAATTGTCAAAATTGAGGGTTTAATTAGAAATTCCTAGTAATTGTCCTAGGGCTGTTATATGGAAAGTGAGGGTGTAAGTGGTGTTTTTTTATGCCTGAATAGCTAAACCATGTGATTTGCATCAATTATCAAATGAGTTTATCTGATGGGCGCAACAACTCCCTCTGCCAAACCTGATTATCCTCGTGAAAGAGACATGACCCATCTCAAAATTTCTTCTCTTGCATGTATGAGAAGATCTGGCCAAGTCTGCACATTTTTGTGAGTCACTCACGGCATTGTCTCTAGAAATTTCCCTACACCTTGTGGAGTGTGATTTCCCTCCTGTCTTCCCTGTAATATCCGTGGGTGAGTGGGTGAGAGAGAGAGTAACAAAGAAGTGAGTGGCATTAGTTTATGGGAGTTGAAGTGGAAATATTAAAAATAAGGAATTGATGCATGAGGACTCTAAAGTTGGAAGGGAAGAAAAGGATCATCCTCGAGAGAAACTTTGGGTAGAGTTGCAACTTGGGTTGTCTTATCAAGAGGTTGTGCCTACATATGAATGAGGGAATTACCGGAAATAAATTTGATCCATGGGCTGACTCAAGCAAGCTAGGAGCTGGAGGTAAACCTCAGAAACCTTGTGTTCCTTCCTTTATTTAATTTGGGTAAGGCTGTAATAGTCTTGGTTTGCGCTTTTGTATGAATGTTTGAACGAAAGTGTTATTGGATGGTAATCTGATACGACACCAGTCCTTAAAGAGTATTGTAGGAAGCATAGCATATTCTCATATCTCAATGCTGACTCAGCAAGCTAGTTAGTTAGTAGAGAATATTCTAGAAGTGGGTATGGATTATAAATAGAGAGGTATGTGAAGGGTGAGAGGGATATCAGGAAAATTAGAAGATACTTGGGCCCTTTTGGGATTGGGAGAGAGTGGAACCTCTCATATGTGTTCCACGTTATCTTTACCTCTATTGCATTGTTAATTTCCTTTTGGGATTTGTAATTCCATTTACGCTTAACAAACTTTCTTTGTTATACGTTTCTGTTTGTAATGGTTACTGAGAAACATATGAATGAGGTATATTCAGACCTGATTTCTGGAGTAATTCTGTTTTAGATTGTTATTTTGGTTGGTCTGTATCAATTGGTATCAGAGCTCTCCGATCTAGGGAGGGTTTTGAACAAAAAGAAAAGAAAAGAAAGATGGAATACAGATCTGAAGATTGGAGGAAAAGTGAGATGCAATTGGAAAATAGATTTGAAGAATGGAGAAAAAGAGGAAAGCAAGTTGAAGAAAATCATAAGGAGGTACTCAGGCTCCTTGATGAACTTCTTGAGAAGACCAAGCAACTCTCTAGAGGGCGATCACATACAAGAAGGAGCGGCAAAAGATTTGAGGAGAACGAGACGAACGAAAATCTGAATCGATTTCAACCAGAAGCATTAGATGATCCTTATAAAGTGTTATACTCGCTTAAACAGAGCGGAACGGTGGCTGAGTTTAGACGCGAGTTCGAGAAGATGATCAGAGCTTTGCGATTTGAGGACGAGGAGCTGCTTAAAGGGGCGTGGCTCAATGGCGTTAAGAGTAGCATCTGCGAAGAGTTGATGATGCACCCTGCTATCACTTTGTCGGAGATGATCAAATTCTCCTTGAAGATAGAGAAGAGGAATGTGGCGAGGAAGGAGGATGGGCTGAATGCAGGGGGAAAGAATGGGTCAAGGAATAGATCAAGTGGGCTTACCAAAGGGGGTCAGGCCCAACGTTATAATGCTAGCCCATACGAAGGAAGAACTTGGGGGTTTAACGGGTCAGGCTCTGTTAACCAAACAATTTTGGGTCGGGTTAATACACCACCTAACTCAATAAATTCTAAGGTGTCGAGTCCCCAAAATGTTAGGGCAACGAATGAAGAAGAGAATCAAAAGGGGGCGGCATCGAAGGGAACCACCAGCACCGTTAATCAGGTTGACGATGGTGGCCACACCACCGAAAGCCAGGAAAACAGCAGTCACGACGGCGAGGAAGAACGAGGGAGGAACGATGACGAAGAAGGGGTGGTTTCGGTGTCACGACTGACGGAGAATCAGGCCAGCAATGGCCATCAACGACTGGAAGTTGACTCCTTGCTATTTACTCGGGATAGAAGTGTTTGCATTAATCTTGCTACTGCTGATGTTTTCATTCCTTATGATAGTGGCTGGCTATGAAGCACCGATACCGACACGACATTTTTGATACGTTCCCGATACGTGACTTCGATACGTTACTTCAAATTTACTAATATTTCGATATGTTCCGATACATCTTAGTATTAAATAATATTTTTAATATATAGAATATATTTCACATTATTTATGTATTTGTTCATTTACTAAATATGAGTATAAAATATGAAAATTAAACAGCACCCATTATTTACATTCACGTCATGTATTTGTTTATTTTAATTTTCTGCATTATTTATTTAGTTTTATTATAATTACTTGTCCTTTTAATTTTATGATATTTTACCACAACAAATAAGAAATAATTGCTTGGGCTCTTTCTTTTAAGAAAAATATCCATATCACTAAACCTAATCTTTACTTTCTTGAAAACCTACAACCATCTCAAGCGGCGGCTAGTTTTGGGAAAGGAAGAGAAAAAAAAAAAAAAACACAATGGTGATGTGTTGCAACAAGAAGATGAAGAAGACCGGCTGACTAGCAAGATGGCTCGCACGGAGCTCTGGTTCGCGAACGACGCGGAGGAGCTCGAGGTGGGTTTGCGGTGGTGTGACGTGGCAGTTGGCTACTGGTGCGCGACGGAAACAAGAGATTTGACCGTGTCGAAATTTTTTTGACCGATCGATACAGCAAAATGGGTATCAGAAGCGTATTCGTCTGGGACGCGTGTCCGATACATTGGAATTTTTTTTTTGGACATATCGGTGCTTCATAGGTGGCTGGAACCCAAAAGCTGACTTGCAAGTGCAGGACCGTGCTTATAGGAATTGTCAAAAGAAAAAAGCTCAAGTTGTCCGAGTTGGCAATAAGTATATGTTTGAGGAAAAATTCATAAAGCAAGAGACGTCATTGATAAATGACAAAGGCGTGGGAGTGGCTATGACTCCACAACCACCAGCGTTAGAAGTAGACCCTCCCTTGCGTAAGCCGCCGGACGTGGTCCTTGATAACGAGGCAAAGGAGTTTTTGGAGCGCAGAGAAAAACAAAGTCAGTGGCCACAACGATGGCGTAATCAACAGGAAATGGCTAGGTTAGGGAGTGGATTGGTGGTATTGGGCCATTTAATTTACCTAAAGGGTCAGGCCCAAGTTATTAATTATTTTCAGATCCAGCTTAGCAGTGTCACTATTTCATACAAAAATTGGGCTTGTGAGCCCAAAATCATGTTTGGACCCAATTGTCCCCAAACATTTGGGTGCTGTCCAGCAAGCCAAGAAAGGCGAGAATTCACGATGGAGGAGAGCAGAATTTACGTTTCACGGTTGAAGCTCCAATTTGATGATTTTCAAGCAAGACCAAATTCATTTGAAGTGTACCCAGGTCCTGTTTGTTATTTGGAAGTGAGTATTAGTTCTAGCAAAGAAGCATTTATTTTTTATTTTGGCAAGGACTTCAATATTGCAAAAGGATTTATATATTCAAGGAGGGTTGAGACCGATGTCCTAATAGCTGTAGTTGGATGTGGGGAAGATATTTGGGCAAATGATGAAGAGAAACTTTCACAAATTCAAACAGATTTAAAAGAAGATGGAACTACTGCAGAGGAGCAATGGGATCCTGGTAGAGGTTATATTGCCTCATGCATTAGTTGGCCATTATATTTCAAGCAATGGGACCTCGGAAAACGATCATCACCTTGAGGACAAGGTGATTTTTAAGGGGGGGAGTATTGATACGACACCAGTCCTTAAAGAGTATTGTAGGAAGCATAGCATATTCTCATATCTCAATGCTGACTCAGCAAGCTAGTTAGTTAATAGAGAATATTCTAGAAGTGGGGATGGATTATAAATAGAGAGGTATGTGAAGGGTGAGAGGGATATCAGGAAAATTAGAAGATACTTGGGCCCTTTTGGGATTGGGAGAGAGTGGAACCTCTCATATGTGTTCCACGCTATCTTTACCTTTATTGCATTGTTAATTTCCTTTTGGGATTTGTAATTCCATTTACGCTTAACAAACTTTCTTTGTTATACGTTTCTGTTTGTAATGGTTACTGAGAAACATATGAATGAGGTATATTCAGATCTGATTTCTGGAGTAATTCTGTTTTAGATTGTTATTTTGGTTGGTCTGTATCATAGTCTTAGTTGAAAATATGATTAAATGGAATTATTAATCAGCTGCCTACATGTATATCCGAAGACAGCTGCTAGGACACACATGAAGGTGTATTCTAGAAGGCGTCACAGAGGATCAATTGATCATGAAAATATTCTAGAAAGTGGTGCAGGAAATGGGTAAAAGTAATTCTGTTATAGGATTTTGTTTTGCTGACGTGGCTGTTGGTTAGTGTGTGGGGTTATATGAGACATGAAGCATGAAGGTGTGGTGCTTGGCAATTGGAATTGGCACTAGACTTGGAGAGCTCGGCATCTCTCTAACCTGCTGGTCCATAGCTTTTCTTATTAATCTTCCTTTTGTAGCTTGAGTAGCAACGTGATAGTTAATTCGCCCTTATAATTTCTATTACTGTAATGCTGTTTTCTGCAATATATATGAAAAAACCAGATACTTCTCTGGACCAAAAGCTGCGCATTTCCCTTATTTCTTTAATTATCTGATCCAGTCTTATCAACAGCCTTGAGACATCTTGAATATATGTATCCTTTGTTTAAAATTTGTTATGATGTAATGTGTTTTGGCATGAGATGTGTTAACAATGATTTGTTTCCCTGATTGTACCATGGTTACCCTTCTAATGGATCATGAAAAATCATTTTCTTGTGGATTGTGCCTAAGAGGAGAATCATTGATGTTTGAGGTGTGCTATATGATAGAGATTTATACCAAATAATCTACACATTACTTTGGGTATGTTAATGATCTGTTTCTAAATGTACTAGTGAAATTTGATCATGTTAATCTATGTAGCGTGGTTTCATTGCCTATGTTTCCGCTTGATTCTCACACTGCTACTGGATACAATATTGGGTAACGAACTAGATCAACACGGGGCGTTACACAACGACTATTCGAAGGAAAATTGCTAGTCCCACTACTTGACATATTTATATGCCAACTTTCCGATTTTGACATATGCCAATGTTTCTGAATTTTTATTTTTTCCGATTAGTTGCTTCTGTGAAACAAAAGCAGTTGTGTTGCTCTGGAATTTTTATGGTAACTTCTATGATTCAATCCCTTTGCAGACTGTTGCTCGTAATGTTGCTTCACAGATTATGACTGAGGAGATTTTAGCATCATATTCTTATGCTCCCCGTAGCAATGAACAGTTAAGGATTTTCTGCCTTACTATTTTATTGTTACCTCCCTCAGTGAAGTTGCTAAATCCTTGATTTTTCGTTTTCTATGTTGTAAGCAATTTGTTGAGAACCATTGTTGTAGTAAGGGAAGGTCAGAAATAAATGAAGATTTCAATCAAATTTAGTTGTAGCCTCAAATGATGAGATAAGATATGATTAAGCCATTAAAAATTGATTTTTGGGGATTCAGTGAAATCCTAGAGCCTTAGATGCAGATGCTCCAACCTGGAAGAGTGAAAACATACAAGAATAATGACATTAGAAAAAGAAGAGGATGTTTGTCGAGATGAGAAGGGAAAATGTGGCTAAAAATCCTTGTCTGAGAATGATGACTTTGATATAATTGAATGGGCAAAGAAAGATACTCTTGTGCAGGGTTCTGTGTAGTTTAGAACAGTTAATCATTGTTCCTATTTTAAAGGTTGTAAAGGGATACAGATAGTATTGTTCAGCCCTTGGATATGTCAGATTCTTCACTTGGATCTTCCATTGAGCATTGTGCTTTTCTCTTATCCCAATTCCTGTAAAGTTTCTTGGTGACTATTCCTGGAGTCTAGCTTTCTGGCCTTTTTATATTGTTGTGTTCATTTTAACTGACATTTTTTCTTGTGAAGGTATGCTGCAGTTTTTGCTGCATTTGTTGCAGGGATGGCCTGTTTGGTTGGTGTTGACTTCAGTGCAAAGTTTATGGCGTCCTTTGCCAAATGCTTTGAGGTATAGCTCGTGAACAAATAAATTAAAGTTTTGTTGGTGTGGTTTTCATTTGTTTTCTTTTTCAGTTTTAGTTTCTTCTCTAGATCATTATTTGCTATTATTTCGCAGTCTTTTAAAGACTACAAAAATTATAATATTCATATGTTTTCTGCCCAGGATGAGTACCAAAAAGAAGACAATCTCTCCTTGCGGAATCTTACTCTTCTCTTATCCTATTTATGCATATTTGGAGTCTGTTCTAGGTGGGATATCTGTACTTCACCAGGCATTTTTATAATAACTTTTTTAACTATATTTTTTTTAATAAGTATCTTTTGTAATACTTTTCAGTGATTTAATATTTGACTTTCTAGTCATGCTGAGCAAGCGTTTAACTGAGATCGATGTCTCTATCATTTTGGCAGTGTTGCAATGTAAGTTTTTTCTCTATTTAATTGTGTTTGGTTCTAGTTAGAGCTTCCAGGGGTGTAAATTATAGAGATTTATGTAGAAGTTCCCTACTACTACGTATTTCTAATTGACTGCTAGATCATCATATGCTTAAGCAATGAAAGGAAGCCCCACATTGAATGGATTGCTGTTGAAATAGACTCCTTTCCTTTATAGAAGACTTTTTCTACTCTGTTGATACGATATCTAGGTTATTTTGTTTGGTTGTGATGAAACAACTTTGACATTTAGGAACTGAGTGTTATAAATTTCTATTTTCTAAGTCTAAATTTGAGCTGTTCAAAAGCACTTGCAGCCCATGTGGCTAGGTTAATACTGTCAGATAGCTACAGTCATACAGTGTAATATTTGGGTTGTTCATTAAGACATTAGACAGCTAACCAAGCTTGGCTGGGGTAGCCTCATTGAAAGATTTGGATGGTGTATCATGCGCTTGGAGTTTTCTTACATTTCTCATTTATAATATCAGCAAGAAAGATTTCTTCTGTGTTTGTTTTCATATTTCATCTTTTACTGCACCACCATAAGACCTGCAATGTTGTATGGTATTGAATGTTGGGCAGTAAAGAGCCAACAAGAGCATAAGCTTAGTGTTGCAGGGATGATGATGTTATGGGGGATGAGTAGATGTACAACACAAGTAGTATTAAGAATGAACGCATTAGAGAGAAACTAGGGGTAGCATCTATTAAGGAAAAGATGGTTGTATCTTGCCTAGGTGGGTTTGGGCCATGTGAGAAGAAACCAGTAGAAGCCCCAATAAGAAGAGTTGGCCAGATGCTGGATAGCCCTTTAATTAGATGTAGAGGGAAACCAAGAAAAACTCTAGATAAAACCATTAAAAAATGACTGAGATCTGAATAGACTTTCTGAGGATTTAGTTCATAATAGAACACAATGGCATCATTTGATTCATGGAGCTGGCCGTACCTAGTAGGAAAAGTCTTTGGTTGTTGTTGATTTGGTTATGTGGTTTTTGTCTCTTTGTTCTCTTCACTCTGATATTTCTTTGTTCTTCTGCTTATATCTCCTTTATTTCCCATTATAACAGTAGCGTGGCTGTACTACTATAGATATTTTTTACAGGAACTTGTCAATTAGAGAACCATCTCTGACTTCTATTTTTATGGTATTTGTCTGAGAAGGTTGTGGGATGAAAATTAGGGCTGATGATCCAGCTGCCATGAAAAATTTCATTGTTAGTGTTCAGAATACGTCAAATAAGTTGAAGGCTTCCTCTGCAGATGACCATGAAAAGAAAAATAGTAAAAGAGTGAGCATGCTATGTTTTATTATCAAAAACTGCCTCTAGTTTTTCTTCACATAGTTCAACACTGATTACTTGGTAACACTTGTAGATGGAGTTCATGCTTGAAACCATATGTGACATCAAGAACAACAAGAGAATGCCAAAAGAGGACCCTGCACATCACACTCGGATTAAAAAGTGGTTACAGAAGGTCCCATTCTCTAATCTGTGTTTTGTGGCGTTCATTCTTGAAATTCCTTTTTGCGAAGATATTACATGTTATGTTCCATTGTAGTTTCTTTTCAAAATAAAATAGAATTTCTTAATTGAACCCAAAAAAAGAAAAATGAAAATTCAAGTTTTGTGTAGGTAGTACTTAGCTAGTTTGCCAAGACATCCTTTTCCAACTTTTGACGGATAGAGTTCAATTTTGGCATTTTTTTTCTGTTGATAAGCATGCTCTTTAATACAGTTGTGACAAGCCGCCTTTTTTCTTTTTTTCTTTGTTCTTTTCTCTTCTTTTTTATTAAGATTGCTATTTGCATTTCTGTTATTCAAAAGGCATTCATGTCCTTCAAATTCGTAATATTAATTTTGTTTCCAGTTGAGAGTTGATGGCATTCTAATTAGAGGGCTTAAATGGAGCAAGTTACTTGACCCTGACAAGAAGGGCCAATGGTGGTTGTCTGGAGATGTGGCTTCTGCAACAGATAATGTTGAAGAAGTTGCTAACAAAATAGACAAAGATGTTCTCGAAACCCAACGAATGCTGCAGCTTGCTGCTGCTCAAAAGATGAACACGGATGCCAGAAGGGCAATATTTTGTATAATAATGAGTGGCGATGACTATATTGATGCATTTGAGAAGCTTCTAAGAATGGAATTACCAGGCAAGCAGGTCAGCCCTTTTTTTTCCAAGTTTAGTAATGTCTTCTTTCAGTTATGAGGCCTTCCGTCTTGTGACATATTTTTTGTTAATGAACTACAGGACAGAGATGTAATGCGGGTTCTTGTGGAATGTTGCTTGCAAGAGAAAGTTTTTAACAAGTATTATACAGTGCTGGCTTCCAAATTGTGCGAGCATGACAAAAATCACAAATTTACTCTACAGGTATTGTTTTGTCTCCTTGTTGTAGGATTGAGATGAGAACTAATTTGAAGTAGAATTGTGTTGAATTCTTCTCATGAGTCAATATGGTTACATTCTTATATCACTTTAGTGGGGATAAAATAAGGAGAGGAGCGCTTATTATGAGAAACTTCTGATTAAAAATTGTGGCATTACACTCTATTGATAAATATCATAACCTTGCAAAAAAAAAAAAAAAAAAAACCTTGCTCCCTCTAGCCCAAACAGCAAAACCTTCAAAATGACTCGGAAGAAAATTATCCAGAGAATCTGAACAAACCCTTGCTCCTTAAAAATGTGCGCGGCTTTTTGTCTATGTACTTGTAAAGCACATAATGCGGACATCTAAGGTTGGTAGATACATCAGCCACCATCAAAAGCTCCTTTTATGTATTTTGGGCATAATGTGTTGAGGTGCAATCTCAAAAATTATGATGCAAATGCCAATATATTAAACTGAATATTTTCAGATTTTTTAGTGAATATTATTGGATAATTGGAAATTAGTAGAACCAACATGCTTACTCTAAGGGGTGTTTGGTAGGAGAGTTTTTTTTGGGTGCCTAGGAAAGTTGAGATGGGTTTCCTAGTTAACTATGTTTAGTAATAGGTTTTAAAAAATTTGCCCATCATTCGGACTTGCATAGCAATCTCAGTTTGTGTAAAATTGAAAAAAATTGTCATTTCAGAATACCATCCAGAGGGTAGTATTCTCATTACCCCATCAAATAAAAAAGTAGGAAAAAAAGCAATGGACACAAATATCCCTTATCAAAAAATGTGTCAAAAGAAAGCTGGAGAGAGAGTCTTCTGTGTATTTAGTCAAGAGTTAGTTTGGTAATTTCATTTCATTTTTCCATCAATATTTTACCTTCAACCAAACATAGACTCAGAAATTTAACCCAATTTTCTCGGTAATATTTCGGCCTACCAAACAATTTTTTTTTAACTTTCCTACCAAATTCACTTTCCCACCATATTCCTAGTAATTGTATTTTTCTGATAATTTTTTTTCTCCTCTATCAAATGCCCCTTGAAGAATTTCTCGTAGATATTCTTATACCTGAGAAGTTCCTTTTCTTATTGGCTTTCAAATTCTCTTAAAATGAAGGATGTATCGAGATTTTTAATGACCATAGCTAAGAAATTTGTAGCAATCCATGCTTTGAAAGTGGAATTTGAATTGAGTTATTTTACATGATTGATGTTATTATTACATATTTCTGTTTCTGTATTATTTTTTCATATATAATTTTCCTATACCTTTTGTTTGCAGTTTTGCCTGTGGGACCACTTTAAGGAGCTAGAGTCAATGCCACTTATGAGGTCAATGCACCTAGCAAAATTTGTGGCTGAAATGGTTGCCTCTTTCACTCTCTCTCTCACAGTTTTGAAGACTCTCGATCTGGGTGATATCAACCAGTTAACACCAAAAAGGATTATGCATTTCCGCATTCTGTTTGAGGCCATTTTCGAGTATCCCGAAAGCTTGGTTTGGAATATATTCACACGTGCAGCAGTGACCCCTGAACTTGAAAGTCTTAGACAAGGGATTGAGTTTTTCGTCAAGGAGTACATTGTGAAAACCAATAAAGCTCTTGCTCAAAAATTTAAGTTGGCAAAAAGAGCCCTTAATAATGTGGAAGGAGTTCTGATGTGAACTTATATTGCATAGGAGGATAATTGATTCTTGCAGAGCCTTCGATTTGCGAGGCTATCCTATCTAATTATTTTTTTTAACAAAAATAGTGGGACCATCTTATGTTGCATAGGAGGATAATCGATTCTTGCATAGCCTTCGATTTGCGAGGCTATCTTATCTAATTATTTTTTTTAACAAAAATAGTGGGACCATCTTATGCTACTTGAGAAAACTATTGATTCTTGCAGAGCCTTCGATTTGCGAGGCTATCCTATCTAATTATTATTTTTAACAAAAATAGTGGGATCATCTAATGCTACTTGAGAAAACTATTGATTTTTGCAGAACCTTCGATTTGCGAGGCTATCCTATCTAATTATTTTTTTTAACAAAAATATTGGGACCATCTTATGCTCCTTGAGAAAACTAAATCCATATATATATATATATATATATATATATATATGGGTTTCTCTTTTTTCATATCACATGAGATAACATCTCTTATATTATAGACACAACAAATGATGAGGTTCATCACTTGTTAAAAATAAAAAGAGGATAACACGGATTTTGATACCTTACAACATGAGAAAGCAATCTCCGACAACATAAGAAAATGAATTCCATATATATATATATATATATATATATATATATATATATATAATTACATTTATCTGTATGAATAAAATAGAAATAATGCTCATATTTATATGGGTTTATTTGTTTCATTGGTGTAAGTTGCTATCGATCTTATTCATTGAATTTGTTTATATTTAATAATTTTAATTTATTTAATATGAGTCATTAGATGCAAGCAGAATAACAACTAAAATTGAGTGTCAAATTTCTTATATTTATATTGATCTAAGAATAAGAAGTTGTACATCAAATTTTAATAATTGATTTACTTGAATTTAAATGACTCATATATAACAAATCACAATCGCTATATATAAATAGAATCAATAGTCAAAATTAAGAGTGAAATTTGCATTGATATAAAAGAATCATGATTCTGTATGTAAATAAATAAATAAATATGGTATAAATGTATATAAATAAATTTGCACTCGGTTAAAATACGGAGTCAACAAGTAATTGGTTAAATTGGATAAATATATACAAGTTTATATTTCTTACTTAAAATTTCAAAAAATAATAACACAATTTAATAAGTTGATATTTCTAATTTTAAAAGTTTAATATAAAATCAATTAATCAAAGCTTATAAAATAAGCTCACAATCATAATTAAAAGTATACAATACATAACATAATTTAATTGTAAGTTCTTATTAGTTAATTTACAGTGAAAAACATTATGCTACATTCTGATTATTTAAAAAATATCCATTACATGAATGATTAATGAAAGTGTTTCAATTCCAATGATATGCTGGAGCCTAGCCATTCTCGGGACTAGGATGTTGAAATCTTTCTTTTATATAATTTAGACGATTTTAAAAAAATAAAACAGTAAAAGGGAAAAACAGTGAACGAAAGAACAACCTCATAAGAAAAACCATTCATATCATTCCCATGGGTCTGCTTGAAAGTTGAAACAAGCTTTACCAGCTCAGAGTGAAGTGACTGCATTCGTCCCATTCTTCATTTGAGGCATGTAAATACAAGTTATTTTTCTTTAAATAAAAACTATGTTGATACAACTAATATAAATTTCAATATATGTTAAAAAATTACCATTTAGATTAAAGATAATACATATATATATATATATATATATATATATATATATATATATATGTATATATTAAGATTTCAAGATGTTTTGAAATGTTTATTGTATAACTTCAATTCCAGAAAAATATAACTGCATTTTATTAAATTATCTTTCATTAAAATACTTAAAGTACTATTTCTTTATTATTTCTATCTCTAATTTTATTTAATGAAAATGGTAAAAGCTAAAAATAAAGTTAAAAATTATAATTAATTATTTCTTAATTTTGTAAAGTGGCAAATAAATTGAAGTAAAACAGTTTTTCTAAAGAAACAAACATCTTAAAACTAAAAAAATTACAGAAAAGCTATTCTTTTTTACAATTCAAATAAAACTCTGTCTACAAATCAATTAATTTTCATAATTAATTTTCTCAATAATTATATAATACGTCTTTAATTATAAATTGATTTCAGATTAGTCCTTAAAAATAACAGCAAAAGAATTCATATGAAACGAGTTTATATAATTTTAATATTAAATCCTAAACATTATTAAAATCTTAAACGGCTTTAGACACATTGAATTCTATATATTTCGTTAACATTAATAGGTAATTATATTAATTACCCAGAAAAAAGAACTAAATATATCAAGATTTAACATTAATAGGTTTTCACCATACCATTGTAGTTAGAACTAGATGATGGGATTGATCTAAAATTGAGAACAAACACTTTATCCTTTATGGGTCGGTCATAAAATCAAATTAGCAATGATACCATTAAATCAATTGAAACTGTTCAAATAGCTAAATTTGCAGTTTGATTGATTGAACCAACCAATTTGATTTTTTTTATGAAAAAAAGAAAGAAGGAGCGCATTCTGAGATGAAATTAAACAAATATCTGCAACACAAAATCTAAAGCGATAAAACAAGAAAAAGAATTGCATCTATCGATTGGAAATATTCATTGAAGTACTGATATATTCAAAAATTAAATAAAAAGAAAAGGATTTCGGGTACACATTGTTTTTTGGTCATAAGTCTAGTCTTGTTGACTATTTTTGGTTTCTCTTTTGGGTTTGAGGAGAAAACTTTCATTATTGTGGGTACATTCATACTAGAAGGGAAAAAAATTTGGGGGTTAAAAAGAATTATAAGAAAAAATAAGGTTTAAAATGAAAAAAAAAAATTCAAAGAAATTTCGTGGGTTTGAGGCAGTTGTAATTGGGGGAGGGGGAAATTAAAATATTATTATTTAAATAAACAATTACAAAAATATAATATTTTAGAACTAATTTATGGATCTATTGTATTTTGTTACGCCCAAAATAAGCATGACCACTCGCGCATAATTGAGGCACATTCAAGGCTTGAAACATGCCTTTTTTTAGGTGTAACTGGTCGCGCCCCAATTAAGCGCGACTCAGCATATTGTCACGTCTAAATTAGACGTGACCCTACAAAATCGCCAGCATAACAAGACTAGGTAAAATAAGTAAATGAAAAGACAAATAGAGAAAGTTTGCCGAGAGTACCAAAAAAGTGCTCTGAGAAAATTTATTTAAGGGGGTATATGGGAGGAGAAGATTTTTTGTGATCCCGTCCTGTACATTTAGTGTACATAAGATGTGTCTCGTGGAAGGTGAAGTATGTTGATATAGGGGGTGTTTATAGTGACAATGGTAAAAACCAAGGTACTAGTGGAGCTTCCCATGGTGTGCATAAAGGGGGGGGGTGTGAGAGTGGCTAGGATTGCTCTCCATAATAGCAGCGCATGAAGCTCTCTCCCTTGCGAAGAGGTCCTCTTCTTAATGTGAGAGGGGTTATTTCAATTGGAGCCTGGTCAAACTAGTCAGCCTAGCCATTTCAAGCTAGGCATGCTGAATCCCTGCCAAGATGCATGAGGATGAGGGGGCATCCTATGATACCTTCTAGAAGTAGGCCTTTTAAATTGGACTCAATAGTGAGCCTAAGCATGTGGGCTATCCAAAACACGTCCCACCATTGATTCAGTGGGACAGACCAATCAAAACTCATCATTGATTTAGGAGAGAAGATAGAGAAAAAAAAATTATTCCAAATATCCCCTTTTAGTGAAAGGAACACGTTGGCCAGGACCATTCTAAGTTTTTCTATATATAGAAGGAGCCGTAGAACAAATTAATTAAGTTTAATAAAATTATAATTTTTCCTATTTCAACTACCAATGTTGGTCAAATGAGAAAGAAAATTGTGATGCACTAATCAGATTTGTTTTCCTAGCTATAAGATGCCTCATCACCTTCCAATTTCATGAACAAATGTTTGACTATCATAGTTATGTAATCGACTTGTAACCTATTATCTATCTATTCTGATTTTTTAAAATACGGGTTAATTTAGAGCAAATCATAACCAGCAAGCTAAGCTGTCGACAAAATTTGAATGGGAACCTGGAGAGGTCGTATTCAACAACGTGGTTGGTTGGTTCTTTTCTTGGAAGACATTCATATTAAGGGAATATCATATAAATAAGAAAGACCACAGACTCATTGTCAGTTTTGGACTCACAAAAATTTGTAATAAAAGCTGGTTCATGCTTTGTCAATTTCTCAACCTACATATTAATTAAATTAAATTGTTGCAGAGTGTGCTACTAGCCTACTAGGTGTAAGTGTCTCATCTCAACAATGCAGTGCTTCCCCATGTCATGTGGTCCTGCCTTAACCACGACCACTAATAGCACAGGGACAATAAGACATAAATTATATCCAATATATATGCAGCACGTACCATTTACGTTACTCAGCTTCCATATGACTTCATGATAAATCCGTAGTGCTTTAATTTATCTCGTTATCATATTGAGCTGGAAAAAAGTGAAGAATTGTATGGATTTGCTACATTTTTTTTACGATAGATGTGATGAAAAAAGTGAGGGAGAGAAAAAGGTAATAAAACAAAGTGTGTGTAATTTTAAGTGATGTAAAATTGTGTTATTTTAAGTGAGAGAAAGAGATAGATCATCGAGGAGAGAGAGTGGACAAAAAAATAAAAATAAAAGTGTGGGTCTCACTTCTTTATGAGAGTAAAATGACATAAGTTATGTTATTTAAAAAGACAAACACTCTTCCCTAAAATAATATGTAGGATATTTTTACTACTAATTTCTTTTACTACCACTCTAATCACCATTGATGTCAAAAGTTATTTTTTTTCTCTCTCTCTTCATTCAACTTTTTCTCTAATTTAATGATAGTTAAAGTGGTAGTAGAAAAAATTAATAATAAAAATATCTTACCTCATAAAACAAATGGGGGATATTTTTACTACCAACATTTTTCATTACTAACTTACTATCTATATAACCACCATTGGATCAAAGAGAGAGAATGTTAAAAAGTTTCAAGTTTCTGAAGAGAGAAAAAATGTTAATCCAATGGTGATTAGATAGGTAGTATGTTGGTAGTGGAAAATTTTGGTAGTGAGAATATCCCTCCTCTAAAACAAAATAGATATTGTTGGGATGAGAAATTTGTGAGTTTGAAGCCATTACCGTTTATTTCAATCTAGAG